TATATATATACAGTTTTAAGTAAAGCCCTTACACAAGTGGTTCCTGTTGAATGTACAACACTGTTTAGTGTAAGAGTTATTATTTAGTTTATTTTATGACTTAATATTTAATTATTGTTTAGTTTTCACGACAGGAGTGTTTTAAAAGCATTAGTTGTGACAAATAACTATGTACGAGTCATACATTGTGTATGCAGTTGATTGTTGTATTAGGCATCAGTAATATTGTTGGTGTCATGTTACTTGAACCTTCAGTATTTTTCTCACCAAGTGAATATTGTTACACCATAGCATCTCCTGGGTTGTAGTAAAATTCCAGGCCTCAGTGTATATATAGGTGACCAAGCGAGAGCAAGTTAAGTTCAATAAAGTAAAAGTTCAATCAGAAAAAAGTTAGAAAACGTGCGAGTGAGTAGCCATAAAAGGTGATATTTTAAAGCGAGTTTCACAGTTTAATAGAGATAAAGAGAATAATAACGAGACAATTATTTAAAGTTTGAGATACAACTGTGGTAACCCATGAACTAATGTAACTGAATCTATTGCAGATTGTACAGTAAGAAACAAAGTAGAGAAAAAATAGTTTATCTTGTCAATTGGATTCTAAAGTAATTGAATCAGCCTGAGTGGACTTTTTGACATGAAAAGAGAATTATTTAGAATTTTAGATAAAACTGTGATTTCCTATAGTATAATTTCTTTGTACATACATTTGACTTGTTTTGAATATATATATATTATTTTAAAACAGGTGGATTGTGTGTTGTCCATTTACTGTCCAAATTTATTGCCAACAAGTCACAAGACACCTACTGTAGAAGAAACCCAACCTACATATACATAAAACCCCGACTGCTCCCAAAAAGTGGGGCACAAGGGGTATCGGTTTGAGCCTCAGAACATTACACAGCAAAACAAAAAGAATTTTATTTTAAAATTTAGAAGAGCACTACTAGACTTTATTGACACATAATAGAACAGTACCCCTCTCTCCCTGTACAGCAGGGTTCTTAGGAAACTACCTGGCTACTACTGTGGATTTGAAGTTGTGAAAGTTTGAAAACCCCCGTCTTAGACAATAACTACAGTTTCAGGTATTTGACTAATTTGTTTAAATATCTAAGAAATAATTTAAATCTGAATAGCAAATGGGATGGGAAAAGAAGTTAAAATGCTAGAAACTTGATAACTTGAGCAGCTATGGAGAGTGAAACTGGAATGTAGAAAAAGTAATAAAGAAAAGGTCTGTGACCCTTACGAACCTTCCATAATTTCCTGCTGTTGCTATAGCAATCAACGATGATAACTGGGAAGAATTTGTGATATATTGTAATGAAATATGGTGTAATATGTTGGGTGTACAAGTAATTTCTAGTCTGTAGAATGGAGGTAGCCAAAGAGTACACGAGGAAGGTAGACTAAACACAATTATCCAGTAAGTACAAATTACAGAAATATTTTAAAAGTGAAACAGAGAACCAAAATATTTATAAAAATAAATTGTAAAGAACCCTAGAAATTAGCAAACTATGCACATGGGCAACAACACGAACAAGGATGAATTCTAGAATCTGCTACATTTACAGTAAATGTCGGCTAATAAAGGGGAAGATAATGCATTAAATGAAACACAAACACTCGATTTAAATTTCTTTTTCTTTCCTTTATGAAATTTGCCAAACAAAATAAAGAATAATTTTATAAGATGAGTGCAATACCTCATGAGATCTGTAAATTTTGCACTGTTATTGATTACCAGATTCTTTGGGTTAATGCTAAATATTATAAATCATGACGATAAAAATAATTTCAGATTATGTCAACATGTTTCAACTGTAACAAAAAATTATTTTAATTAATTGAAAATAATTTTGTTGTATACCTTCTCTCCCCACTATTCACTGGGTAAGATCTACATTTGTTTCATAAAATGTTTCATAAAAAAGATGTCTATTCTATTCAAACCTAAACAAATGGACATCAAGCTCACATTTACCACGTGGATTGTGAAAGGTTTAAGTTTAACTGTATACGGATCCTTTTTTATCACGTTCTGCTACATATTAATGAGTATGTACATTTCTGGAGCGTTGGGATACTTTCAGCTTCAAAAGACGTTCTGCAACTGTCAACTGGTCAAGAACCAGTCGGTTAAAAGCAGCCTTGCATATCGACTTCAGTTTAGCATAAACATCAAAGTAGATAAAGCAAGATAGTCCTACACAGGTATTATTATATCTCCAGACCCAGAACCTACCCCTTTCCAACATGTTTCTCACCATGTTTCAGTGAACTGAGTAAATAGCGTATAGTCTATTTGACAATAAAAGTGACAGAAATTTGCCAAATGCTTACCAATTCTCATCAATGTTATAGTGAAAACAAACCAAAAACTTTAGCAATTAGACTTTCAGCCTAATAGCCTGGGCTAGTATATTAAAAAATTTATATATATATATCTGTTTACTGTGATAATGTACTGGCTAATGGACCTTTAACACATTATACGAATAACCGTCAAAAGTTAAGTCACTTTTAGCAAAAACCAAAAGTTGCATTAAATGTTACAAGGTGTCTAAAATCAATAAATGTATTTTACATTACTTTAACTTTTAACCAACTTTTTCCATTGTTGTGTTGAGAGGAAATCCACTATACAATTTAAATAAAAGTCTGTAGTTACAGCTTTTGAGTGGATTGTTTTTTTTACTATTACAGCATTTCAACAACTCATGTGGCTATCATCAGGTAATTTTCATCTATTTATAAACCTCTTATCTTCAATTTTTACATAAAAAACTTAATTCAGGTTTTAAGTTACTGAAAATATGCAGATTAAGTGCACTTTTCTACAAACACACGCATCGTGCTGATGCTAAGTTTTTATCAGTTAATAAAAAGTTATAAACTTACCTATGTACGATAATACTCCAGGTTCCTTTGATTTAAATAAATAAGTGATAGCTATTGACATGTCAAAAAGTTTTGACTCAAAGAGCCTCAGTAACCAGGATTCTCTTGGTGGAGGATTTTTAAAAAGCATGACAGGAGATTCATTACTATTTGAACCTATTGAAGTTGATGGGATAACTAGCTGATCAGTCTCTTCTGGCTTTATTTCATTCACTGAACCAGTTTGATTAGGTTTGGTTTCCATGGGAACAGCATCTAACTGGGAAGACGGACAATCTAAGCATAATTGGGAGAAACTATTGGTTCTGAGTTCATAGCTGAGTGAAGGTGTTGTTCTATCAGTATCGTCAGAGTTAAATATACCACTGTCATCTGAAGCTACACTGGTTTGGTCAGGAGGCACCAAGTTCTGGGAGAATGGAGAACATGCAAAAGTGGTGTCCGTTGACAAGTTATCATTTAAAACTAAAGGACGTTTGTTCAATGTAGAAAGCCGAGTCCCAGTTTCTGGAATCTTCTGGAGCACAGAGTCCAGACTCAGGTTTCTATGATGAGTTTGAATAGTGGATTGTAGTTGCCTATAGTCCAAAGTGCGATTCTGGTGGTGTGTTGAACATTGGTGGAATTTTCCTGGAGAACAGGTCCCATGTACACCTACCTGTGCATTAAATGAAAACCAAAGTTTCTTAACAGTATGACCATCTTCACAAAGATGTTCTTCATCCATGATAGGCACTGATGACTTTTGAACCTTCTAAGCAGTGCAGCATTGGTTTGAATGACATATCATTGTCTTCTCTTGGACTTTAAATAATAAAACCATCACCAACTTGAAATTCACCATTGCTAGAAAACATTTTATAGTTTATATACGAGTTATTACAAGCCAAGGATTTATGTTACAAACACATTATGTACCTATCATTTAGCCAACTACAAGTTCACGATTTAAGTATTTTAACTATAACAGTTAATTAAGGTAACACACAAAAAGTTATTGAACTAGTTCTTAATTCTTTAATCACTATAGTACGCTAGCACTAGTGGCTTTCTGAGTTCAGACTCGAAAATACATTACTAAAGCAAATACTGGGCCTCAAATTCTGATACCATAAAACTCATGTCCAATGTCTCTTGCATTAATGTCAATGAAAAATGGGTATGAAGGCTAAAGAATGAAAAACCTTGAGATTGTAAACATTGAAATTGAGTACTTCATACTTGTTTCACAGAGGGAAGCATGGCCAGTGGCTAGTGCCTTGGATTTGTAGCCAAAATGATGCAAGTTTCAGGCTTGCTAGTGACATGTTATATTCTTGAGCAAGACACTTTACACTAATTGTTTCAGTCTATCCAGAAATTGTCAATACATTTGATGATATTAGGGTCTTGAACATTGTTGGATGTGATGAGGATGATGTTGCTTTAGAAAATAATTTAGATTTTTTGGTGAATTGGGTAAATAAATGTTAGATGGCTTTTAATTACAATAAATGCAAGGTATTACATGTGGATTATCATAAGTTATGAGTATGATTTTGATGGGGACAACTTTAACAGTGTTATAGAAGAAAAGAATCTTGGTGTATTGGTTAATCAGCTTTTTAGGCCATTGAAGTAGTGTGGTAAGGCAAACAGGATTTTAGGTTGAATATACAAAAATATTGAATACAAGTCTAACAAGATTACAATTTCATTGTATAAGTCAGCGGTTAGGCCTCATTTGGAGTATTGCGTTCAGTCTCATGATTCTTACTTACTGTAAGAATATTGAATTACTGTAAGGGGTTCAAAGATGGACTACTAGGATGATATAATGTGAAAACTGTAGGACTAGGGGACACAAGTATACGTTTTGGCAGGATAGGACTCATCTTCAGCTAAGACCTTTGAAATGGGTTGCCTTCCAATTTGGTGAAAGCAATAAATTTAAAGGAAGGCTCACTATATACTTAAATGACAATGGCTGGCTTTGAGGGTGTTTTTATTATGATTATTTTTATTAAGTGTAGTTTAGTGGGCACCACAGATTTGTTGGTCCCTTGTTATTATTAAGTGTTATGTTACAATGTGTACCAGCAAGCAGTTCCGAGTTAAACCGAAATGGACTGATATCCTGTCCTGGGAAAATGTGTCACTTTTTACCTAGACTTGTGTCATTGAAACGTGAGTTCAGCAACGGCTCCTACGTACCATCTAGGCATGGGATGGATTTGATACTCGTTTTATCAATGATGTGTGTGAAAGGGGGATTCACCATTTATCCTTCTTCCAAAATAAAACTAAATTTACTTTTAGGTTAAAAACCTTGAATACCGCAAATGATTAAAAAAAATTCTTTAACGTATTTTTTTTAAGATTTTTTTCTATAGAAGCAATTTAAAATACTACGCTATTGGTCTGTTCATTGCTGCACCAAAGATATCCCTGGTTCAAAAAGCAATATTTATAAACGAAAAAATCTTGTCAAATGTACCTATGTAAAGTTGCATTTTTGAAGAAATCTTAATAAAAACAGTCAGAAATAACCATATAAAATGAATTTCAAATTTTAGTAAAAGTTTAGAAACATTGGAAAGAAAGCGAAATGATGGGTTTTCTTTCTTATGAATCACAAGTAAGGGACATTTGTTTATATTATAATCCAAAAAGTTTTAGCACTTCCATTATTAATATTAATGTCAAGACCAGTGTTAATAATAAACGTACATGCAAGTTGCAAGAAACCTTCGACATGATTGTATAATGAACGAACTTTGTGGTACAGACAGAAGCGTATGCCATTTCAACTTCAAGTCTGTTCATATACTAAGCAATCGGGATTTCCGTTCAGCGCAGGATAGAGATTGTCGAGGTCTTGTGAAGATTTTTATTTTAAAATTTACCATGTTGAATTCAAGTATCTTATAATGGTTAAATTTAAAATATAAAATAATTTTTGTTTTGTTGCAATGACTACTTGAAATTTATTTTCTATAAAGAATGTCGAAACTTGAATAAAATGACGAAATTCCCACAATTCCTAGCAAAGTGTGCGCGTGCATAGCATATTAGAATGTGTTGTCTGCTAGCCGAAAATCGTCTGCAGCTGCACTGTTGTTAAGTTTATATTTGAGTTTAGTCGAATTTACCCTAATTGATTCATTGTGGACTGGGCCATCCAATAGGCTTAAGTGAACTTCCTTGGCCAAAAATATGGTTTGTAACAGGGCTATGCGTAGGCATTATTGACTTGTCACCTTAGAAAAAAAAGCTAATCATGGGCCTACAGCGGTACAACCCATAGAGTACTATATTTATACACGCGAAGTTAGGTCTAAGCCTAGTAGAAGAACTAGCTTAGGAAGTGTGTTCTATGGTTACGAAAGGTAGTGGCAGTGGTATGTAATGTAGCCACTGAAGAATACTTTAAAAAATTCAATAAATAATGACCACGAGCATGGTGTTAATGGCTAAAAATTCCCGGTGTCTTTTACTGCTTTCTCAGTATGTAATGTACAAAATGGGAGCGACTTTGTCCCTAGCTCTTTTACTAGTACTACAATTTTGCTCGAAACACTAGCTTCCATTTCATATCAAGACTAAAAAGTTACTAAATTATACTTACTCGCAAGGAATCGTTACATATAATTTTAACTAAATAAAAACTTAGAGCTGATTAATTAGAAATTTTGCTGAAAATTAAATGTCAATTAAAATAAGTACAATTTATTTACTGACAGTATAAATATTTTAAACAATAAAAAATAAAACATTTAAAACTTCCTCAACTTTCTGTACTCACCAGAAGTTTACACCGTTTTACTAAAAAATGTTATCAAACCAAACTTTCATTCGTTTGAGTCTACGCTATACATACGTCATAACTAATCATGTTATTAAAAGCCATCCGATAACGCTCTGCCCAATACAACTTCTTCAGCACGAGCCCTCTAGTGCTAATACTCAAATTATTTAAAATTGCATAACTTAACAACATATTTTCAGGATGTGATAGAAAAAAAAATGTCATTGCAATCAGATATTAAAATTGAGTATAAAAATAGTTTCACAAAATATTTCTTATTTCATTGAAATAGTTCAAACTCAAGCTAAATACAGTGATTATTTGTCCACAAAGAGTATTTTTTTAAAATCAGAATCCACATATATATGTCTAAGACATTTTTAACGAACGTATCGTCGTTAATTAAATAAACAAATAGTTTCAGTTAGATTTCATGTCAATTTTGACTAATGGCGTGTTTCTCGTAAATATTATGCAACTAGTAAAAATAGTACATTAAAGATATGATTTAATAATGCTCATAATACGACACTGCGTTAATCAATACTTTCTGATTAGTTGAAAGAAAAATTGTTTAGTATTCCGACATTATAAATGAAGATTGGCGCATCTTGATTCTTGAACCATAACATGCCTCGTATAGGCAACTAACCATGTCAACGATTAATACCTGATCGTTACAACCTTAAGTACTCGTGAAATAATGATAAAGATACGTTTCAGGAAGTGCTGGAATCAAACACACATACACACACACACAAAGCAACAAATTCCCAGAAAATTGTAAAATAAAGATTTGAGTTTAGTCGATTGTCATTTTGTGTGTATAGTTAATGATTTTTAACACCAGGGAGCAGCTGATGAAACAACATGTCGGTGTTATATCGAGCTCTTTTAACTTGGTTAACGGTGACTTGGTTTTTAATTTTTCTTGCTTTACGACTTGAAAAGACAGAATGGAATTGGTTTATAGTATTTATCCCTATGTGGATATTCGACGCCAGTATGCTCGTATATATTTTGTTCAGAATTATGATTCATTGCAAAAATGGTCAGGACAGAGGATTTGTAACCACTCACAGAAAAATATGGTATTTATGCTGTGTCCTGATGAAACTTAGTTTCCAGATTACATTGTGCATCAGATTACAGTACATTACGTATGGGTCTTGGTTTTTAATTATGGTTCCTTTATGGATATTGCTTGTAGGAGTTTCCATTGATGTCCTTCTTCATCTTGTGTTACCTCAACCAAGCTTCTAAAAGTAAAAGTTAAACTTGCAATAAATGAGGTGATACGTGAATCGTGAACGTGATATGCACAAAGACTTGATGAATTAGCAATTCACAAATAACGAAATGCAGTTGTGAAATATAATTTTTGAGCTATTCATAATAAAACTTGAGAATTAACAACTAATGAACTAAGAAGTTTGCTTTGCTTGAACAGTTTTTGCATTAACAACATTATCTTCGTAAAACTTATTCAAATAATATTTGAGAAAGAACAGTGTCAGTAGCCAACGTGTATAACTATAAGCAATTTTAAAGTGTGTACAGAAATCATTTGAAAGAAGAATTTCGCTTGCGAAGTGGATTTATAGAATATATAATTTTTTTATTTTTTTTTTACTTTTGAAGTTTTGTGGAAAAACGTGAACTAAAATCTTCAATGTCAAGGTTAGAAACTGGATTTGTATAATTCTGGAGTAATTGTTTTTTTTATTCTTGCATGTTATAAGAAATATGTAAAAAGCTTTAGATAATTTGAATATACTGTAGGGAGAAGATAAAAAAATGTGCCATGGGAGAATTTTCTCTTCCTGTTTCTTATATTATTTAATAACCATTCAAATAGCACTAACTACATATGTATTATATTAAGCATGAGGAGGCAGCTGTACCTGCCTGTTGTTATATTAATATCGTGGAGTGCTCTTCTCCACAGCAGAACAAATTTAATAGCAGGCCTAGTTAGAAGATGTGGAAAAAATGTGTTTGATGGAGTTTAATTACGGTGTTTAGCATAATTGTTAGGCCTTATAAAAAGTTACCAATTGATTATTGTACCTATGCTGTCCCTATATTAAAAGTTAGTTAAAAACAAACATATTTTACTTTATGGTATGCAGCGTAGTTTGTGTTATTTAACATTTGTAAAATATATCAAATAAATGTTTCCTTGTAATTCTGAATGCTAATGTTGATTCACTATAAATATATTAATTTTTGTAGACTGATGATTAAGCTATAAATTGTCATTGTTGTGGTTAAGATGGAGGTTATGTCTGCTACCTTATTATTGGTAGTTCAGTTGGGAAAAACACTGGTTTTGAAATGAGTCGGTTCATGATTTGCCTTAATGGTGCTCATCGAATGGTCATCTCATGCCCTAAGGGTCAATTGACCTGAGTATATGGTGAATCAAACCATGTGTTTAGTTCAGAAGTTGGCCTGAGGTACTGTATGTGTGACTGTCTTGGCAGCTTAAAGATGCTGGATTGTGTTGTGGATGGAAGCTTAAAGATGCTGAATTGTGTTGTGGATGGAAGCTTAAAGATGCTGGATTGTGTTGTGGATGGAAGCTTAAAGATGCTGAATTGTGTTGTGGGTGGAAGCTTAAAGATGCTGAATTGTGTTGTGGATGGAAGCTTAAAGATGCTAGATTGTGTTGTGGATGGAAGCTTAAAGATGCTAGATTGTGTTGTGAATGGAAGCTTAAAGATGCTGAATTGTGTTGTGAATGGAAGCTTAAAGATGCTGAATTGTGTTGGGGATGGAAGCTTAAAGATGCTGGATTGTGTTGTGGATGGAAGCTTAAAGATGCTGAATTGTGTTGGGGATGGAAGCTTAAAGATGCTGGATTGTGTTGTGGATGAAAGCTTAAAGATGCTAGATTGTGTTGTGGATGGAAGCTTAAAGATGCTGGATTGTGTTGTCGACTTGAAGATGAGCTTTATTTGAGTGTATGGCGTGGGGGATTATTCAACATCCTTCATTGGGGTTATCAGCTTGAAACTTAGGTCGTGATGACTCATTTTGAATGAGCTTTGGTTCACATTGAAATCCAGTTAGGGTAGATCTCTTAATATTTTAATTTGTTATTAGTAAATAATGACCATTGTTTTAATATTTCATCTATGAAACTCTTTGAGAGATACTTAGAATGTGCTGATATAAACTGAAGTTGTAAATATTACTTATTAAGCTCATTAATAGAAATCTTTACTACTACTACATTTTCATATGTTTTTTTTTTTCATTTATAACATGAGCAAGTTTATAAAGAGAAAAATAAGTTATAGCTGAAACTGTGTCAAAAATGAGGTGTCTTTGAGTGATATTAATTTCTAATAAATCCTTTAATGAAGATGTAACAAATCATCTATTCTACATTAAGAGTGATTGAAATATTAATACAGTGTAGCCCTGTTATAACGCGATCGTTGGGGTCCATAAAATGTCATCGCAAAACAAGCGGAGTCGTGCTAAATCGGGGTTCAAGAAAATCACTGTTCAAACTGACCCAATGTTGACCTAACATCCTAAAACACCTCTAAATTGCTGTTTCCAGATATTTTCCAATGACACAACCG